AGCTTGTTTATAAAAAAAAAAAAAAAAAAAAACCAAACCCACGTAGCTGGAAAATTTGCAAGATACCCGTGATCTGGGACGCAAAAACAGATGATGTGACTCTTAGCTATTTAACATAAGAAGCGGGGGAAGGGCAAAGGGTTGAATGCAACCACCCCTTGACTATAAAAACTGCAGTAAGAGTCTAATCTTGGCCCTTGGTTAGCTTTTCAAACCTTATATCTTGGTACCAAAATAAAAATATAATTCTTTATCACACCTTGTGTCCAGTGACTTATTGGCTTCGATACCAAGCAAGAGCCCAGGTTTGGGGACAACAGAGGCACCATGGGCCAGTCCTTTGAAATTTGCAGGCCAGGCCCACGGGCCAGATTTAAGCACCCCGTGGGCTGGATCCGGGTCACGGACCTTGAGTTTGTCACCCCTGCCTTAATCTGTGCTGTCCAAGCAGAAATTAGGCATCCAATTCAGCCATTCTAATCTATTGAGCTACCGTGCTATCAGCCCTTATACCACAAAGATCCTGCAGGAGAAGGGCAGTATGGATAACCGTGGGATCCAGCACAGTGAGAGCTGCGAACCATAAAGCTTTCGCTGTGTCCAGCATAACAGATACAGTGCCCTTGCTAACTTCAACAGGGCCACTAAATTGATAGGTCAAGGTAGTTGTGATGATGATAACTCAAAAAAGCAGGGGATCGTGGTCCCGAGATGAAGAACTTACTTTGGATAGGGGAAAGTGTGAATCAAATATTATCCATCAGTCACACAAGAAGAACAAGGTATCCAAAAAGAGAAGCCACCTTCTGGTTGGTGATTTAATTGTAAAGGATGTAAAGTGAGGAAAGGATACGAAGTTTTGAAAGAGGTCAGGTGTTTGCCAGGTGCTTCTGCCAGCAGAAACAAGAGGGGTATTTTTAAGATAGTCAAGAATACCAGGAAGGACTGTGATGTTGATGCTATTATGCATCTTGGCACAAATGATCTGTCCCCAAAAGATGTACTTTCTGTGCAGAATGATTTCCAGAGCTTGGGGTATGATCTTAATAGTATAGGCTGTAGGCTTATCATTTCAGGGGTTCTACCAGTATATAAGAAAAAAAAGAGAAAGGCCAACATGTAGCAGAGTTTAATGTGTGGCTAAAGGAGTGGTGTAGAAGGGAAGGCTTTGGTTATATTAGTCATAATGTCTGCAGCTGGTTCAATGAAAAACTATGCAAAAGAATGATTTACACCCATCAAAGAAAGGGACTGAGTTACTTGGCATTAAATTCACAGATTTTCTGGATAAAAATGTAAACTAAACAGCGGGGTCAGAGAATTAATTGATACAGAACATTTCTGTCCCCGGCAATCTAAAATTAATAGAGTTATCCATGCATGTAATAAAGATGCTTGTGCGGGTAAGATTGTTAACCTTTGCTGTCAAGCAAAATCAAGCATTTAATAATGAGTGTCATACAATCTGCAATCAAACAGATGGTATGAAAGTAGGGGAAGTCAGACACAACACAGGTTATGTAGACAGTAATCACAGGGTCAGTCAAAATGGATGCAAATGTCAATCACCAATCCACAGAGTATGAGGAATAAACACGGTGAATTAGAAATTAAAGTAAATGTGGGCAGATATAATATTGTTGCCATTACAGAAATTTAGTGGGAGGAAATCCACAAATGGAACATACAGCTAGAGAGATTTAAATTATTTAAAAGAAATAGACCAAATAAAAGAAGAGGTGGAATTACACTATATAGAGTATAAGAAATAACTACATCTTTACAGAAATAGAACACAACAATTATGAAAACTGTCTTGAATGCAATTGGGTCAACATAAAAAGGGGGGAAATGACATTGCTATAGGTGTATACTATAGGCCACCCAACCCAACAGAGGAAATAGATGAACTTTTTGCTAGTCAGTTAACTAAGGTTTATAGGAAGTATTTCACAATAGTAATGGGGGATTTTAACTATCCTGACATCAACTGGGAGATGAACTCTGCACCAAACGGATGATCAAACAGGTTTCTGACAAACCTAGCAGATACCTGTGGGAAGTTATCATCCAGCCCTCTCCCAGAAAAATGAAATACCCTAGGAAATATTGAAAAGGCAGAATATTTCTCTGGCTGTGAAGAGAAGGAAACATGTTTTAAAAGACAGAATAATTGCCTGTAGCTTCCATCCCCACTGTTAATGGGCCAGGGTAGTCCACTTTACATAATAAAGACTTCTCCACTGCAGCCCCAGGGGGGGAGGGGAGTAAAGGCAATTATTC